GTAAGGTCACAACAATGGGATGTTTTGTGATTATTTTGAAACGAAAGAGCATAAAAATAATAATTATATTCTATATTTTGTTGACATAGGGACCTGAAAGTTCGTGTAAAGAGTATAGAACGAGCTTGACCCGAAAGGTCTAGATTTCGAACAGCAAATTGCAGTAAAAAGGCATGTTATTTGATAAAGCAATACTAAATGCAATAATTACAGCAGAGATATGTTTACCATCAGAGGACGTATTGCATACTCAACACAAATCCGGGAAGAAGTTGTGAAGGAATCTGTGTAGCTGAGGTACAATTAAGAATCTCTTGACAAATGATAGTATTGGTGTTGACATCCAAGGTATAGACCCTTATTATATTTGTAAAAGGATCGATTGATATCCCTTCCTAGATAAATCATATTCAATTAGCAAAGAGATAACAACAGTAAAATACTCATCATTATTGGTCTACTTCCCTCGGCTCCTCCCCTCATCCATAGATTCATCTTTCGGTCAACATCTAAGGCCGTATCGCTTTCGGACCTTATTCCTATAATGAAATTAGGTGTTACTTCGGGATAATTTGATTCTCCGGGTCGTCTGGGTGGTTGGTTAGCTAAGAAAGCATTCCATCTACGATAATGAAAGGTAGAGATTAAAAAAGATCACACAAACCATGCAAGTTGACTATATTTTATCACATTCCAACCTGGGACTACTAAGTACAACAGATGCATCAGGACCTAAAATGTTAAAGCCACCCCTGCCATTAGGCACCCTAAAAGCACCCTATAATCAACAAAAATAATTAAAAGATGCAAACATGTAAGGAAACCTCTATGTAATGCTTTGTAATATACCTGGGAAGCACCAAATTGTCCAACCAGGTTCCTGTTGGCACAACACCAAATATAGAGTTGTCCAATAATTTCTGCTTCTCTTGCATCTAAACATTTTTTATCCATGGTTTTAGTATAAAAAACAAACATTTCAACTGTCAAATAGTGGTTTAGCAAGTTACACAACTCGTTTCCTTGAGAACTGGCATTAATTCAAGTTGGCCTTCAATAAGGTTCATTCGAAGGTAAGGGTTTGCGTGAGTGATTTCTTCAAACAGCTGTTCACTACAGTTAGGAACAATAAGCTTGCCGTGCGCAAGTCTTTCCAACACCTGCTCACTCGTGGGAATGATAACCTCGCTGTCCGCGACTCTTTGACTGCAGTCAGAAACAATAAATGGTGGGATGTAGGATGACATTTTTTCAAAAATGAATACCGATATTTGTTTGTGTGATATTTATTTATTTGAACTTTTCCTTGTCTAATGCTATTTTCCATTCATTTTTAAATGCTCCCCACCAGGAAGGAAAAGCTCGATGATTGTTCAATCTTTTACAATTGATTATTTGATCAGGAATTAATTCTCTTGTTAGGATCCGTGTTAGGCGATCTAGGTAGGCAAGGACGATTACAGTTATATTTGTAATTACGTATATTTTAGAACAATTCTACAAGCATTGTTATTCTTGCTAATGGTATTGCTTTTGACTTATTATACCAATTAATCCACAGATATGCTCACAAATGAACTAGATTGTTTTCTTTGCAATATCTATACATCTCTTCAACACTGGGGATAAATCTCCATTGAGGTAAGAAAGATTTCTTTGCTGATTGGTATAAGCAGGTGAAGTGTTTTACCATATTTAATACTTCTTTTATTTTATCTTGTGGGTACAGATACCTTCATTGTCCCCAGGTATCCAGGATGCATCAATTGTTCATTGGCTTCTTTCGCTTTCCGTGCTGTATACTGACTCGATTTATAGTTTACGATTAATTGCATGTTTGACATGCCATAAACAAAGCTGAATATTGGCCAGCATCTTTATCCATAAGAATAAAACTTTTACTCGTAAATTAATTGTATATTATAAATAACTACAGTCATACCTCTTTTGTATCCACTCTTTATATATCCCAACCTCAGATATATTCAACCGACGGATTTTAGTTTACCTCATTTGTGTTTCCTTTAGTATTAGGTATATCCCTAATTTACTATATATGACACTAGTATTACACAAACTGTCATGTCATTTCTATTTTTACGTTCTGCACTTGATATATCGATATTCTTAGAACAAAAAGATTTTACAACAGAAAATGATGTAGAATGTATAGTAATATATTTCGACGGCGTAGAAAAGGCTGAACGCCAAACTTCGTGATTTCAATGAATGGTTTATGCTACCTCATTTGTATTCCAAAGTGGGATATAACCGAGGTATGACTGTACCTAGTAATTACAAATTTACAACGGGAATTTCTACATCCTAAACAACAAAGCGCCTATTATTATGATAATACATACAATATTAATTTTATAGACGTATCATTCAAATTTTCGTCTATTAACAAAGAATGTTAGTGTGCATGTTTAATCCTTCGACATAGAACGTCCAACCAATACAACAGTATTACACACGACGAATCTCATCACGTGTGAAGCACTATTTATTTGATATTGTTACACCAGATACTCCTTGCGAAATCGGACTTCGTAATATTATTATTTTCCAAAAATTTCACTATATTTAGTAACACTGTTTCTACGCTGAAAACATTTTTCACTATTTAGTACTTATACGTGTTCTACTAGAATGAAAAAAGAGGATCAATTTGAGCTATATCACGAACAGCTGAACAAGGAAATGCCAGTGCTCAATTTAATCTTGTTAATGGGTACAGAAATGAAAAAAGATGAACAAAAAGCAGTTGAATGGTATAGAAAAGCAGCTGAACAAGGATATGCCAGTGCTCAATGTAATCTTGCTAATGGGTATTATAATGGAACTGGAGTAGAAAAAGATGATCAAAAAGCAGTTGAATGGTATAGAAAAGCAGCTGAACAAGGGCATGCCAGTGCTCAATTTAATCTTGCTTTATGTTATAAAAATGGAACTGGAGTAGAAAAAGATAAACAAAAAGCAGTTGAATGGTATAGAAAAGCAGCTGAACAAGGGGTTGCCAAAGCTCAATTTAATCTTGCTTTATGTTATGATAATGGAACTGGAGTAGAAAAAAATGATCAAAAAGCAGTTGAATGGTATAAAAAAGCAGCTGAACAAGGGCATGCCAGTGCTCAAATTAATCTTGCTTTATGTTATAAAAATGGAACTGGAGTAGAAAAAGATGATCAAAAAGCAGTTGAATGGTATAGAAAAGCAGCTGAACAAGGAGATGCTGGTACTCAATTTTTTCTTGCTTTATGTTATTATGATGGAACTGGAGTAAAAAAAGATGAACAAAAAGCAGTTGAATGGTATAGAAAAGCAGTTGATCAAGGATATGCTTTTGCTCAATTTGGTCTTGCTTTATGTTACAAAAATGGAACAGGAGTAGAAAAAGATGAACAAAAAGCAGTTGAGTTATATAACAGTGGAGTAAGACAAGCACATTTGTCAATACAAGTTAAAAGCAATAGACATTATAGCAAAATGGCTGACGTAGAACTTGACATTAGTTATTATTATGTAACTGAATTGTGTCAATTAGTAGCAAAAGGAAAAAATCCTTATGCACAATATATTCTTGGCCTGTATTATGAAAATGGAATTGGGGTGAAAGCAGATATTAAGAAGGCACTTGAGTTCTATGAAAGAGCAGCTGAACAGGGATACAGTAAAGCACGAAGTAAGGTGTATACTTTCTATGAAAATGGGTCAGAAGTAAAGAAAAAAATAAGGGAGAAGGTTGAGTTGTATAAAGATGGTATTTAGTATGGAGTATTAGGAAAAAGATCTTGTTGAGCAGTATTAGTATGGCCATTTAAAATTAAAATTGATAACATGTGTAATCACCTTGCATTGAGTTTATTTTAGAAAGAATAAATATTATTTGCTATTACTATTGTTTGTCAAAAAATGTACTTTAAGTATTCTGTCAGCCAAAATACCTAGCAAGTTAACAAGAGGAAATGCCTTTAATGTAGAAATCTTATTTAACAGACCTTTGGATACAAGTGTCAGTCCATCATACTCTCCACATACTCCTTCCCATTTAATTAGTCCAGCCAGTATAACTGGATGGTGATAGGACAGCATTTGATGTTTAAGCACAGCATAAAAATATTCTTCGATAGCTTAAAACAAGCCATAGTAGTAGGCGAACCATGACAACTGATAAGCTAATCTGAATTAAAGTTCTGTGCTGCATACTCGTCGCATTTCATAATATCGTTCAGTCGAATGAATAAGCAATTTATCTCGTAGTATTAATAGAATATACAATTATGATCGGTATTCATTTAAGAAGCTCGCTTGCTATTTTTATCGATTACGGGTTTAATATAATTTTCTATTAGCGATTAACCCGTGTTCACATCTCAATAACAATAATTTCGTTGTCCCTGAGAGAAATACAAACAATACGTCATGTTTGTTTGTAAACAAACGCGTCTCTCTTATTAACAGACCAATTTTATCTATATTTTTATGGTTGGTGAGAAAAAAAATACTGTCATTACCTTTTATACTTTGCCTAATATACTAATACTAAGTGTTCTTAAAGGAAATATTTTAGAAAGTAGACCTACAACAAAACTTTATCTTTTTATTGTGAGCCAATATCAATAGCAGAACTCTTATTATTATTACTAAATAAGAGAGATCAGACAACAAATCGTGAGCGAGATATTTCTTTCCCTATTTGCTATTTTATGAATAAAAGTGGATTCGCTAGACCTCAACTAGCTTCTCAAATAACTATTTGATTTTCGGATCACCTGTCAATCTCTGATTGGTGACAAAAATTCTAAAGGTCATCGTTCGCCCGGTCAGGTTTTTGTAAAATTTAAACACTGACAATTAATGAACACAGCATTAAAGCCATGAACATAAGAAAATATCTGTTCCTGACATGGACGGTGCTGGCATTTATCACGATTTCGACCTTTGTCAGCGAGGTTACGTCGGAAGAATTAGACAGGACCCCGGAACCAAACAAGAAACATGACTACAAACTTACCTTTAAGAAGCCCTATTATTTCAATGGCACCGTACCCTTCTGGGATATATATGGGAGTAAGTCTTCGTTTCGCCTATATTACGAGAAAAGATGCTTGTGTGTATGTATATTATTAAACTAAAGATACCACCGCTGATAACAAGATAGATACACTTTCTGCACCTGATTTCATTCGCTTGGCGCCGAGCGTACCCCGACAGGCCGGTTCGATATGGTCTCAAATGCCTAACCCTCACAAAGAATGGCAAGTTGTGCTTTCTTTCAAGATATCAGGCAATTATTATACAGGCGGTAGAGGCATCGCATTCTGGTATACGAAAGATCGAGGAAATCCAGGACCCATTATTGGAAATCAAGACAAGTGGGTTGGATTGGCAATCTTTTTCGAGACCGCCGCTCCATCAATTGGGGTACGTACCGTTTGTGTAATGTCTATAACCACGAAAGAGACCGATTCGGCACAAAGCGATCTGCCGCTCATTTACGTTTGTTTAATGTAATTATCTTCAGCGAACATATCCTTTCGTGTCAGCACATTTTAATGATGGAACCAAAAAGTACGTCGAGGAACGAAGTCCGGAGAGTGCCACTTTCGGTTCATGTTACCGGGTATTCCGGAATGCTCATGTTCCGACTCTAGCACGAATTACTTACAAACACAAGACCCTGGTGCTTGAAGTTGATGCTCATCACGGTGGAGAGAACTATATTAAATGCTTCCAGGCTGAGGATATCGAACTACCTACTGGTTACCATTTTGGTGTTTCGGTATGTTAAATAATTCGATGATCATTAAACATCACTTTGAACATATCCTAACATTGAAGTGGTTTATTCTATTAGGCGTCAGCTGAAGGATCAACGCCTGGCAAGTAGTAACTTGAACGTACCAAGTGGAGAGCAACTACGAAAATTCTAATATATATAATTCCTATACAACTAAATAGATGATCATGACGTAATAGCATTCGAGACATACGAAATCAATCCAGCGGAGCGTGCTAAAGTAAGGAACTATCAAGCATTTTGATATTTGATTGAGAGTTCTAAACGGTTTTGCTCTGTAACAGCGTCCACTCCGTCCACATGAGAAAGAAGGAACTCCATCAACGCCGCCAGAAATTCCCGAAGACATTAGAAAGGTTCGTCACCTCTTTATACTGAACATTATATGATCAACCAGATTACTAACATTCATTGCCTTTCCTGCCTTTAGAGGATCGAAGAAGTGCAAAGGGTTGTAAATAAACCTACAGACGAGTCAGGAGAGGAAGAATACCAAAATTTAGACTTTGTCAAAGGGATGCAAACTCAGATCATGGAACAGTTAGAAAGGCTGCAGTGGCAGCTTGAATCAATAGCGGGTAAAAAAACCAATGCTCCGGGACAGTTCCACATCCCTCCACCTAGGAGTGAAATGCATCAATTGGTTGCATTAAAGTAAGTCACCATTGACAGTAAAAAGGTTTGGAACTTTCATGGAAATGCATTCATAACATTTTCTCGTTCATAGCGAGAAACTTGACCATATTGTGGCCAGCTTGATGTCCAGTGAAGCACATTCTGTTTCTCCAGTTACAAAAGATTTGATTGATCAGCTAAGACTCCTCACATCAAAAATCAGCAACCTCGATGTAAGTCCACGGTTTGTATTATTGTTCTCCATTAACCCTCTAACAACACCTTCTATTGCTTTATCCAATATCAGTCTCGCATGTCAGCTCAAGACGTCCAACTTCAAAAACTGAATCAAGCCATCAACGTGCAAAAACAAAAAGAACAGCCTGGGACATTGCTTTACGTTTTGTACTGTCTTTTGATGTTGTTATTACTGTATTGTGTTTACTTCGCCTACAAACTACATGAAGAATCAAAGTCAAAAAAATTCATTTAGGACACTTTTGTCAACTCGATGTTTGAATTTTGGTGAATTCTCGTATTTAGCCTTTTTTTTTTCCCAACGAGTCACCAAATTCATTAGCATTAGGTATTGATTGAAAAATGTAAATATCTTTGAAGAAGAAAAAAGCCACTGTAATTATATATTAGGGTTTAGCACATTTGCGTCGTTCTATGGCTTTCGTCTTGGGACATTCCATTTCTTCCCATGAAATAGGATACATAGCACATCCTCCTGTTGGACATGGGAATTTTAATTAATAATGTTTTGATAAAGAGTAGGGCCTCGTTAGTAATCAAAGCCACTTGCCTGCAAAACTGGTTGCGTATATAACACCAAAGTCATTGTCTGCAGTTGACAAGTAGTAAGATCGTGCATCTCCCAGTGAGATCTAGGAATAAAAAATTTAAGCCTAATAATTACATCGATTCTTTTTGTTATAGAAATGCTCGCTCAAATCGTCCAATGCAAAAAGGATACAACTTTTGCCCTAACGATATCTCCTGGTCGGAATGAATCGCTTATCTTGACTTTATCTCTATCGAATTGTCTAACATCCTGTTTACTGAATGATTATTGCAATTTTAACTCAAAGGACTACAACCGAAAACACAGAAAGAGGAGAGGGAAAAGAGAATCAACCGTATTATCCCCTGAAAATCTTCCCTGCAAGGAGAATTAACGACAACCATTATAGAGACTACAGCCTCGCGTTGGGTTATTCGTATAACTTTACCAGTTATCTAATAAAACAGTAGGCCTGGAATGTTGACTACGTTGATATGTTGAGGGTCTATAAACATACATCTTAAATCAAAATCTCTTACTATGCTTCCGACGGTAGGAACAGCTGATTGCACCTTTTCCTTTGACACTGTCAATACTCGGGTCGGGGGCTTTTTTCAGATAAATTCACGGCCAATAGTTATGAAATAGTTGTTAGTATCAATAGTATAATTTATTATCATGAATAAAACTACAGATTATCCTTAATGCTAAGATCTTTGCTTATGTGCGCTCAACGATCCAGGTTAAGCATTCACTACGTCTCCTTACACTCTGTACCTTTTTGTCAGTTTTTACCCAAACTCTTTTAACGCCAACAACACTGGCGTATAAAAAGTCTCCTCTGACATAAGTACCAGGACCACCAGTATAGTCCTGTGCGTGTCCGAGGCGTTGACCAGGAGTTACTATCTCTACGGACATGACAAAGATTAAGGATTAACGTTAAAAGAGTAGCAGTCAAAATATTCATAACGATAAGGGAACACAGATCCAGATCAATTACCATAATTGGCTTAGATCGGAATCGCGTACTTTGACAAACTAATTTTCAACTTCTACGTTTGCCGTTCTTGTTTAATAATGCTACGCCCGAACCAACACAAAACACTTCCGGAAATCCCCAAGCCTGCAACTCTTTCAGCAAAAACCAAATCGCATGGCAAACAGAAAGAAAATGCAAATTATGACACATACAAAACTCCTCAAAAGACAGTTTTTGCAAAGACTCCCTTTGTTAAACAAAAAGCACTCGGCACTTCGAAATACAACGCAATACCAAAAACACCATATAGGCCGCTTCAAGATAAAACTAACAAGACGCCTTGTGTTTCGCAGGTGCTTGAAAGTGGTTACAAGACTCCAGGTGAAAATAAGCTCGAAAGTGAATTGCGGTCTGCAATTAATCCAAAGACAACTGGTCGCAAGAGACTTTCGACGACACATAGCAGACATTCGAGTAGTAAAAGTAGTAACAAGTTTGATAACATAGAGAGCGACAGTAGTACATTATTAGAATGCAAGGATAAGCTTCAGTTTACAATAGACAATGTACCGGATGTGGAATACTGTCCTCCTCGTAGTCCAGGTCCGTTCGATGTTTATTTTACAGAGTTCTATCGTACATGTGTTCTGTATGCTAGACTTTTAATGTCATGATTCGTGTTGATTTTTAGAGCCTCCTTTTGACGTGGAAGAGGATCTTCGCGTGGATCTTGAATCCGACATATTAACACTACCCATAAATGCCGATGCGTTTGAGTTTGAAGACGTCGAACTTGACATACCAATAATTCCCAACATGGATGAAGGAGAATTGCGACTTGGAGACAAATCGCCTACTACTCTTGGAGGTACGTTACCCCTGTAGCACTCTTGTCGAGTTTTGGAAAATTAAGGTCATGTCTGGTTTATTTGCAGGAATATATGGATTTGCGAGATATTACAAGATGCCTTGCGATGTTGAGGAGACAATCGAACAAATGTTGGGAGGACCACGATCTTTTGACGAGATACTAGAGGAATATCATAAGATCGATTTTTCATAGGAAACTAACATAAGTAGTTGAAATACATTTAAATTTAAATTTGGCTTGTTATTGCACGTTCACTGAAAAAAAAAAAAAAACAGACCTCAGGTTGTGCGGGGATAGTCATCGCAATGCTCCGCGCGCATTGTGATAACCGTCTGCGTTATCTTCATCATTCGTATCGATGTCATCTCTTGTTTCACTAGGATCGTTTTCGTTCAGATAATCCAAGTTCTCATTTTCACTAACCGTGGGAGTTGTCTCGCCAGTTCGTGATCTTAGCAAAGCAGCCACATCCAACCATCCTTCATTAAACGTCACTTCTGCGGGCTTATTCGGAGGAGGTAACGAATCTTTTAATAATATAGTTTCTTGCGTATGTTTAATACATTTTATCAGATCCCTACCGTCTTCCCTTCGGCATTCTTCACTGTCGGATCAGCGCCGTGGGCTAAAAGTAGTTGTGCCATCTCAACAGTCTCTGCCGCGTAGAGCGGTGTATCACCATCTATATCATGAATATTGATATCTGCTCTTTGAGATAACAGATATTCGACTATTTGTATGTGATTGTAAGATATTGCCGCGGTAAGAGGACTATATCCGAAAGCATCTTGTGCGTTTACAGAAACACCTGACGAGATATATTCCTTATTGATGAAGGATGAATTCAGCTGATCGTTTAACTCGAGTTTTGTTGAGAGACTGGTAACATACCTTGACACAGTCAAAATCCCCTTCGCCTGAGTGATTAATGCATATCGGATGGTCAGAGAAAAGCCATTAAAGAATGCCAAATTGCTATTAATAGGGTACCGGCTGCTATCCATATGTTTTTTCCGCTGTCCGACATTTCTCGTGAATGCGAGATCAAAATGAAAATTTCTACTATGATGTATTCTTCATGCCAAATCACGTGAATAGTTCTACAATATTACCTATATTAACCGCATAAGATACCCCCACTCATTGCTCATTACGTAAATAATAAAAAAAATTTACTATATTAACAACAATCACAGCGCGTTCCTCGCGTTCATACATTCCCAACCGGCTTACAGAACTTGACTATCGCGAGGAACTTTTATTCACACAAGGTGCTCGCAGACTCGTCCTAAACCACTGCGCTAATTACCATAGGTTCACTTGCCGCGTCGTGCAGTAGTGTGACCAGCTCCGTGGCTTTTGATTTTCAAACGTAAGTTTGCAATAATAACTTCTCTTTGACATTCTTCAATGGCCGCTTTATTCTGGTCAACCTGGAAGTGTGCACAGTGTTCATGCTTTCATTTCTGGGAAGAGGTCATCAATAAGTCTAGCGTTATTATATATGTATACAATGTGTATTCATTTTGTCTTAGGATGTTAGGAAATGGTTTCCCAACAATAGCATGTCTTAGAGCTATTTGACTATTCCAATTTCTTGTGATCACAGCGTTACTACAAAAATGTACGCCGAGTACTTTAACTCAACTGCACAGAAAGACTACTCGTTTATTGGCTTTTATCGACATCGTCTAAATGAGCCATATTTTACTTTTTCATATACAAAGGGGAAGCCTGTAGGCTTAAATGCGATCTCGAAGAGCCAAAGAATGATGATCCACAGGAAATTAAGACGGCTGCTGATCTGCTGTTGCGGATTATAAGGCAATTTTTCTTTCCCTGCACACTGGGCGCCAAAACATGTCCATGTGACTAGGAGATCCAAATGCGCTTGATCTCTGAAATGCGTTTCGTCGTATATTACATATTGTAATTAGTGCACACAACTACGGTGGACAAATGCATTTCTCCACTTAATGAAATAGGGTATTGTTGTTGTTGCCCATTATAGCCACATTTTAATCGCACCTCTCAATCATTATTCTTACTTCTCTCCAATTGTTCTAATAACAGTTCTATTCTTATGTGTCACTGTTGCTGAACAGATGCAACATCAGTCATTCCTACATGGACGAGTGGCCACATAAGCAAAGAAAGGACAGAAGACAAGGATAACATAAAGAGAAGGCAAGGGTAATGGAAAGAGAGAAAGTATAAGTAAGGGAAAGGGAGAGGTTAAGAATGATTAACTGGTCATTAAGTTCACAAGGTTTATTATATTTATGTTTTGTTTGTTTCCATGTCAATTGCTAATGCATTTTATTTAGCTAAGAACTACACATACAGTACAAAGAGAGTTCTCAAGATTGCCATTGAAGAAGTTTGATTGGAAGCTGGTATGTAAATGATATGAAAAGTAGAATAAATATCTTTTAAGTTTTTTTTTTTTTAAATTTGTGAAGAACTTATTTGAACTGATATTGAGGAAGATACCTGAGCAGTTAGTAGTAATATACAGATGTAGTAATTGTGTATGGAAAACAAATTGTTTCTCATGCTGTTTATTTTTTTCATTTTCACTGAAACAAATTCCATTTCTGACACTCTCTCTTGTTACCATAAGTAATGATTTACCCTCAAAAAATCAATTGCAACTTATTGCTGCAGAGGATATTCTTAATAGCACTGAAGAAATCATAAAGACAATGCTTGATACTGGTGAAGAAGTCACGAAAATGATTGCTTACTCTATTAGCAGATGGTGATAAGATTATATGATTATGTAGATGTTAATGAGACAAAGTGAACATTCAATTATGTAAGTTGATGTGACTGGAATATGTATTAATGGATAGCTATTACTATGGATCATGTGGACTAATTTTTACATGCATTTTTATTTTTTGAGTCATGTCATAGCAGCAGATGTGACTAAGATTTAGATTCAAATGACTAAGCTGAAATTGACACAAATTTTGTAATTGTAAATGTGTAATATTAATATTAATAAAGAACTAACTTATGAAAATTACAAGCAACCACAAACTTTAAGAGCTTGTCAGGTTCTTTATGATACTTTATTACAAATAGATGAAGAATCATATTATAATATAGAACCTATAAAACAGACAAAAGAAGAACAAGAATTCTTTGGTAGACCAGAAAATGAGAAAGCAAATCTTCAGTATGAGCCATCTCCAATGGTACAGCAGGAAATCAATCCTGAAGCTGGTCCAGGTCCTCAAACCCAAGCTCATTGTGAAGGTAGACTTACTGAATCAGAAGAAATAGTAACTCAACAAACCACACCATCAGATAATACAGAATTGCAACCTGTTCAAGAATTGCTTGATCACAAAGATAAATTTCTAGATTTAGATATAGAAGTACCATGGCCAGTCCCATTTCCTGATAACAAAAAACATCATGTAATATTAATATGGCAAAATGGAATTTGGACTGCAAAAGATATGTTCAAGGTAGATGGAGCTGAATATGCTTTCTCAACCTGGTTTACAGAAGCTAAAGAGATAGATTTGGCCAGTGTAATATTAGGAGCAGAAAATAAAGATGAAGCTATGCAGGAGGTATTTTTTACAATGCCTATATCAGAATTATTCAGAAGAAGAAATCAATGAAATCATAAAATTGGCAGTAGATGCTTATAGAGCATCAGATAAAGGAAGTAAAGCCTGGTTAGAACACATGGAACAAGAAATAGAATCAAAAAAAATTTTGAGGCTGGGATGACTGAAGTTTCAAAAATATTAAAAAATAAAAAAAAAACTCCAAGTAGGTTTTTTTATTGTGTTTCAGAATTGTACTGATTTCGGAATGTTAACATGCCAAACCACCCATGGGTGTTATAGGTGTTGAAATGTGGACCAACCAACCTGAAATTAATAATATCGTTTCTGGTACGTTTGTATATGGCTATTTATACTCTTTTTATTATATTCTAATTTCTTGTATTTACGTTTGAAGAGCCTGATCTCGAAAAAAAGTTTGCTGAAAACCTAAGTTTGAAGGACTCATCTGACCTCAAGGATGAGAAACAAAAGAACATAGCCTCAGAAACTAAGTTCGAAGCGGATAGTATTATATCAGTTTTTCTCGGTGGCAGTATACAAGATAAACCGAAGATGTCGGTGCAGCAATTTTTCTTTGGATTAGCGGAGTTGCTCTACTCTATAAACCAAAGTGTAAATTCGGGGAAACCATACGTTCGGATAAACGGGATAAGTGCTTAAGCTGCAGATAATATATATCGTAAACACTACTCTTTATTGCTTATAACATAGCTTACTATACTAGCAGATTGTGAAATAACTGCTTATTTGAGATTGAACCTTGAAGTCAGAGATTGATTGACGTATTTCTCGCTAAGGCCAATGTCCATCTCTCTTTGAAGCAATTTTTATAGACAATATATAATTGGGGTTTATCGGGGTCAATATTCGGTTTACAAAGGTGGATGCTGCTTAAATAAATTGTTACACTTTATTCGGGGTTTATTGGGGTAATTTAAATAGGCTAAAGTGCGGATTTCGGTCGGTTTATCGGGTTTGACCTTGTAATAACAATGCAATGTTTCATTGCAATTTTCTGTCGCATAATATCGAAGTTCTAAAAATGTAATTATTGGAAAAATATATCCAATCAATTGCATTTGCTCCATATCATGCGACTACCCTCTAAATGCATAATGCATAAAATTCTGCGGTTTCACTGACCAATCAAATTTCCGTCAAAACAGTATTTAAGTACGGCCTGCAACAACGACAAAAACAAAAACGACGACGCGACGACGACGACAATAATAATAACAACAACAGCAACAACAACAACAACAACAACAACAACAACAACAACAACAACAAAAGCGACGACGACAACGACAACGACAACGACAACGACAACGACAACGACAACAACAGTAACAATATCTCTGGTTTACATAAAGTGATACCAAAATGTCCTCGGAACGCAAGCTTCAGTTACCAAAAATATCAAAAATATTCAAAAAGAAAACCAAAAGTGGGCCTTGTTGTGTTTCAGAAATATTAATACACTGCGTTTCGGAATGTTAACATGTCATCTCGCCTGCAGGTGTTAAAATGTCGACTAACCCATCTGAAATAAACAATAATGTTTCTGGTTCGTAACTTTCGTATGTGACTATTTACTCTTTTTATTATATTCTAATCTCGCGTATATCCGAAGGTTCTGGTCTCGAAAAAAATATTGAAAACCTGAGTTTGAAGGACTCATCTGACTTTAAGAGCGAGAAACAAAAGAACATAGCTTCTAAATCCGAAACGGTTGTTGATATGGAATTTACTTCAAACCCGGTAACAAATAATGAACTTGTCGAAGGCGTCGAAAAGTATGCAGAACGACTAGGAATCAAAGAATATACAGAAAATAAAGACTTGTGGAAGAAATTTTACGGTATGTAATAAGTTTGATTCAACTTGATTGCATTTTTACTAATATACCCTTCGTTTAGACGTCTTTGGCCCAGATTTCGTTTGGCCTTCCACAATGAAAGTTGGTGAGCGTTGTGAAGTCCTTGACTATATTATTTATCCCGAATGGGAACCAACCGGGGAGGAACTTGCAAGAAATACAGTTGAATATCGTCGCCTACTTGAGTCCGGAACTCTTGATGCATCGCAAGGATCGCACATTTTAATCATAAATGGGAAATTAGATAGTTATGGAAATAAGATATCTCCGGAAGACGACGAAAAACTGGAAAAAAAATATCCAGGGTGTTTATATGCACCTGTTGTTGAACGTACTGCTTTAATACGCAAATTCTTAGCTATGGATGATCAAACAAGAAAAGAGTGGCAGGTTTGTATCATTTACAATTTAATTGATGATAATAAGGTTATTGTCAGATATGGTCGAAGCTTTATGATGATATCTGTCAATGACTTAATATTAAATGACATCTTTGGGGATTTCTTTGCCAAATGTAGTCCCATATTTGCATTCGAAATGTATTAAATCCCAGAGATGAGGTGAAAATGGCAAGTACTGAACAAAATTACCGAATGATAATTGATACCGGCTCCACGATGACGATAATTCCTTACTTTGTAAGACAACAATTGTATAATCCCAAAGATGGTTGGCAGAAACTTTCTTTTTACCCTGACGGATATGGCGATACAGCGAAAATTACTCAAGCTTCAAGGGAGTGGCTTGTGTGTTTGGGTGATGGGACCAATTGGTCCAACTGGGTTAGAACAAGAGAATTGTATTCATGGCAAAGAACGTCCCCTAATGTCGATTGTGGTCTAATTGGCTACGACGTTCTACAATATCTCGCATTACAAATCCTGTAGACAACCCTACGTATTTCTTAAGAACGATATTTTCAACCAAATGCCACAATTACGAGGAATGGGATGAGTGTTTTTTTTCTCCAAATTTAATCAGCAAAAAAATTCGAATAAGGGGTCTGGAATTTACATGAATAATGTATTCATATTGAAATTAAATAAAAATTCGTGCTTATAATGTGTATCGGGAAAAAATGTGTACATAATGATCATAAAGCATTTAAAGCTTTGAGTTTATTCAATGAGACCCAATTCTCGAAGATGTTCTGGAATAACTATATATGGGCCTTCGTAATACCACACATATCTAATTTTCTTTGCACAATTCTTTCTTGAGTCGATCCCGTGCCTGCTGTTTGATAAAATTATTGGGATCTCTTTCATGAAAGAACTCGTGATATTTTTCGTGTTGTACGCCTTGTACTTCGATTGCAAAGCCATATTCTGGGTAATAAATATCAAGTTCTAATCCTGTGGGACATTCTGGTGTTTTGAGAAAATTAGGTTTGCAGATTAGTAAAGGAGGGCCAAGATATTTTGTTGAAATCTTGTGACATAGCTTTTCTCTTTTATATTTCGCACCATGAGTTTGAGCGTTTGAACGTTTTAACGTTATCAAAGTAGCAAACCATCTATGCTTTTTATCACATATCCATAATAAAACTGAAAGATTATTAATAAAATATTCAGAAAGACAAGCTCCCTTCTATTATGAGCCAATTGTTTGGCATCTTCAAGTGTACAAGGCCTATTAGTTGTGCAATATGGACACCACGTCTTATTATTTTTCACATTGTTAAAAGATGCATTCCACTCATGCCCTTCAGAACAACGCCA